GGGGGGGGGGGGGGGGTGTTAGGTTCAATAGTTCATTTAAAATTTAGAACTGTTTTAAGTCAGGTGGTAATTGCAGGTATAATTTCCATCAATATTAAATTTATATTCTTTTTCTCTCCACTATCATTACTATGGCTAAATTGCTCAGATACAACAATGATTTCACTTACTGAATCTAGTTCATTTAACGTGCAATAGAGTTTTTCTGACACTTCATGAAGCTCTTGCTCAGATAGCTTTTCCTTTGTTGTTCTGTGGGAAAGAGACTCTTCAAGTGAATTTGTGGTAGAATTTTCATATCTGCTAAAACAAAAACCAGAGATATTTCTATTCTAAAAACCTGAAGGTGAGCATTACCTTGTACAATTCCAGTTTACTTTTTGTGTGAGCATGTTTTTATAGCATTGAGTAGAAGCTGAATGTGTAAATGCCTATAACTATGTTTAAGAAATGCATATATATCAGGAGAAAGAAGATATCTTTCTGTTAAAATCAATCTTTCACTGTCACGCAGCCAAGGAGGGAGAGATCTTATTTTAAAGCAGGAGGATGCCTGGGTGGCCATGTATATGGAAGTGCTAGCAAAAAACTGAACTTGCCTTTCCTTTCTAGGCAGATATCTAGATTCAGGTCTTGGAGTCTGTGTCACTTGTTCAGCACATAGTGAGAGTTTTTGCTGTAAAGAGGAAGCAGATGAAGTCCCATATACCCAGGGAACCTAGGAAAATGAGTAAGTTAAGATTTTATTAAGATCTTCCCGGTAAGGCTCAGAAATACCAGAGATCAGGAGAGCAGAGAGATCCTACAACAGCTTTTATAAGAGAACCATCTCAAACCCTATGATTTATATATAAGTACTTTTTTGTATATGCAAAAGTAGTTATATGTCCAGATCCCTGATGAAAATAGCATGCTTCAGAGAATTAGATGTTTAAAGAAACAGACTAGCAAAATTATAGATGATTAGTTTAAGAATCCTCTACAGCTAAACCACTGTATCAAAAGAACCAAGGTCTGGGTTGTTATTTGAGTATCCCTACATACACCTCTTCAACCTGGAGCTAATGCAAAGCAACACAAGTGAGCTGAGCCTCACTTAGTATAGACTAAGCTGCAATTCATAGCAAACTAATAACACTAAGTTCTTATGCCATTTAGTTACACTGGTTTAGTACTGGTAACTTATCTGTTCGAACTGGAGCAATTCAGGGTTGGCGTGTACATACTTGCAAGTACACCAATGGAAAATGAGTTTTAAACGGAGACAAGGTTTTAAACAGACAATGTAGAAGTAAAGGCTATTGAAATGCTTGGAACAAATGAAGTCTGTGAGTACCTCTTGTGGTTGCAGAAGGCAAAAAAAAAAAAAAAAGTTTTTCCGAGAGCAAAGAATTTCCTACACAAACATGTTTCTACAAGCATGGAATGGCATCTGCTCATCAATTTGTGAGTTTTGCATTATTCATGTGAGTTCTTGAAAAGCAAGAGACAATGCAATGAAATAAGATGAAATAATACAGCCAGGCAGTTTGGTGACCTTTAAGAAGGGAGCAAAATATGAATTTTATTTGAGTCTGAACAACTCTAGAAAATCAAAATTCTTACTAATTTAGCATACCGATAGACTTCAGAGAAAGGACATGACTGTGCCCTTTGTTTTATACATCTTTGATTAAAACTAAAGTAACTAGTAACCGGTTGATTGTGATAAATTAGAACTCTGTAGGTACTGGCACTTACAGTTCTTGGAGAAAACACCTCCAGAAAGAACTGACGTGACTTATAAACTGTACATAGTCATAGTCTAACAACTTTGCATCACTGATTGTGTATTGAAGCAAGCAAGCCGAAGCAGGTTTGAAAAAAGCCCAGAAGTGCCACAAGATACGAGAAGAATTAAGCAGACATCCAGAAATAGTGACTGAACTTCCACAAATAAGATAAAGATGCAACATCTACCTTTGCCATGTTGTCCTCAGCATCATTTGATACCACTTTGTCTCCCACTGCAGAAGCATATGACAGGTAAGTGTTAGTTGATGGTACAGACTGCACTGTGCCTACTAATGTGGGGAACAAGTTAAAAAAAGATGTGATCTGTGGCCTTTGGAACCAAATTATTCAGAGAACAGAATGACAAAGCAACTGTGGTTACACAGTTGTGGCATTCATTTTGGTAATTTCTCAAGTTTGAATGTTCGGTGTTATAGGAATGCTATGGAAACTAGAAAGGTAAGCATGTTTCCCAGGCAACAGAGAAAATAAACACTGAAAACTGGCTTCTAAGCCTTTTCTACAATAGCAGTTAATGGCTTTTTCCTAGAGTTGAAACTGGCTTGTTTGTCCATGTTTCTCTGCTCAGAATAAGCTCAGCCATGGGAATTACCTGCTAGGAGAGATTTCTGTAGGACAGGCACATTTTACCTGGATTAACTAAGAAAGGAGTTGAACTGAGGACACAAATTATTTTTCTCCAGCACAGTGAACAACTTAGAAGTAACATATTTTTGTTTCTCTGTAAGACAGAGGTAGAAATATGAACTTGGTGGCTAAATAAAAAAAAAATAAAAAATAAATGCACTAGTAGCTTCAAGACCACATTTCTTTTACTGCCAATAAAAATAAATGCAACATTTGATGCTTAAGAGTTACACTATAGGAAGCAAAATTCTCTCACCAGGGATTTTCTTTGATAAAAGAAGACTACAAGAAACATCTTCAGGTTTTTGTGTAAGTGACTTTCCAAGCTGAAATAAAAAAGCAACATGTTTTCTGTAAATTCACAGGAGAATGTTACAGGAAGGTCATACATCAGGTTTGCATATGGAAATCAATGCTGATTTTATAGATAAAAATATGCTATCATAATTGTATTTACTATATTGTAAACTGTGTAGTTACATTGATTATGGAGATGTGTATGTGTATAAAATTAACACATCCCTCAAATTAACTTCCTCTCTGGACACTCAGTGAAGAATGAATCCGCAATTCAAAATTCTTTGAACTGAAGATAAAAATCAAAGGACAGGTTTTTACTTACCATAAGAATTTTTACTCCTTGACTGCTAGCCAAAGCTGTTGACTGGCTGGCTGAGCTGTGATAATCTCTCCATGCAGGATAATGGCACCTGGCCTCTGAAGGCTGAAATGGGGGTCGCAGAGGAATAGCCTGCTGTATAGGCTCCCCATGTTCTGTAGCACTGGCTTTCAAACTCTTTTTTTGAGGTTCAGTAGTATGAACAGACTCCATTGATCCTTAAGAGACAAACAGGAAGCAGCCTACTTTTTATGTGTGAAAGCAGAATGTTAGTTTTCTATATTCTCCATACATAGTAGATGGAAGTATCTAAATATCTAGGGTTAGCTACCACCTTTGTCGGATTGGATAGAACAGTATTGTAACATTTTATGCCTTACCATGTTACTTTTCTTCTGTTTACAGAGATAAATTCTACAGCCCCTCCCTCTCTCACTACTTTCCTAAGCGCACCAAGTTTTTGATGTCTGTATACAGGTATGTATAGATATGTATATGAATATACTGCTGTCATACCGCATGGGTGTAGCTATGCATATAAACAGTAAATAGCTTTTGATTTGCTGTTACTTTCCCTGTCGTTATTTTAGATACATGCTGGGAAAAGCCAGCATGCGTGCAGGAATTCTAAGCAACAACAGAGCCATAGCCAGCAGAGGCCAGGGACAATTGGAGAAGGTGGCTGCCCCCTATAAGAATGATTCACCCCATACACAATCTATCCATCTCTGCCCTTAAGAACAGCATGAAAGCCCCCTTGAGAACATGATTTTGGATGCTAGAGTCTTACACAAGGACCTTTTATGTTTAGTATTTTGGTTATTGAACCACAAAGGAAAAAACCTAGCTAAAGCTGAATCTTAGCTAAGCAGAAATACCCCAGATAATGGAGTTTGCATACTTTGGGATACGAAAATATAAAATTTCTGAAAAGGATTTGTGTCTTTCAAAATATAGCTACAGCATGTCCATCTGTGACTAAGGTTCTCCTATAGTACCTTACACCCCTTAGTCAAAATCAGGTAGATTAACTATCGGAATAATGATTAGTCACCATTTTCCTTTTCCTTTACAATGGCCCTTTCAGTTTCAGAGAACCATCTAGGTCATGTTGCAATAGCCTCTGAGTTTTTAAATTTTTCCACCCCCTTGTCCTTTTCTGTTGGTAACAATTCAGGGAACTGGAATTCTAGAAGTGGTATTTGGAAAAGATTAAATTAAGAACTATAAAGCATCTTGCTATGAACTGTTCAGATGGACAATTTTAATTTTTGGTATCTTAATAACTTGGTGTTAGCAATCCACGCTATGATCAAGATGGGTCTGTTAAATTCTTACTGGTAATTCTATTCAAATTCATAATATTTCTTTATGCCTCTATTTGGAGAGATTAATCACCAATAAGAATAGCAATATTCTTATATGAAATAGGAATGGACCCCATTTAAGTACTGTGCACATTATTTGTTCAAATGGCACATACTCCTAATGAGTCTTCTTTAAAGAATGAACTTACTGGCCTTTTTATAGTCTTAAACAATACATTTTACACAGCAATAAATGAAATAAATTAAAAGCTTCAGAAATCTCTTACTCTACTGAACAAAAATGCTTTTGTAGGGAGAACGAATTAGAATACAAACATCAAACCTTTATCCAAATAATGTAGCTCAAGAGTCATGAAAAACAGTGTCTGGAATACTTTTAAGAAATTTTTGCTTTAGCAGGATCATCTACAGGTATGTTTGCTTGTTGTGGGTTGTGGGCTTTTTTGTAAAATAGAGTTTAATACAAAGTCTTTGTCTGTAAGAAATTAAAAAAAAAAAAAAAGGAAAAAACAAAAAAAGCCTAGAAACATTACTACAGAGTAGTCAATTTTTTTTCCATCCAAACTCACCTTCCTCTCTCTTGGAAAATGAATAAGCAGTATCTCCAAGTCTAATTAATTCACTGGTAGATTCTGATCCATCTGCATCACAAGATGGAATAAAAACTTCTGAATGGAGCCTAAGAGGAACATAAAGCCATAAAATATTTACTCTAAAAGTCCTTGTCCCTTCAGTCCACTAGATGGAGCTGCAGAAGAGTGGTAACTCCAGGCAGCTGACGAGTGTAGGACACGAGACCAGCTTCTACAAAAGCAACCAGTGTAGAAGTCACAAAGATATAATGAATGCAGTTTAACTAAAATACAGTAACTTAAAACTGTGACAACGTTTTCAGTGAATTTCATTCCATATGTAGAGTAAACTTCATGGAAATAAAAATGCCATCAGCACTCTTCAAGAGCAAAAAAGTTCTGGATCTAATTTTAGCCCTCTTGCTGCTGGACTAAAGGAGAAAGTTACCTCGCGTTCCATTTGACATATGTAATCAGTATGTTTCCTACTTACAAGGTATTAAAACCCTACTGGTTTCTGTACAGATGCACAAAAAAACCATTGTCAATCGCTATGTCAATGCAAATATTCAGAATTGTCTTACCCTTCAACTGGTAGGAATACTGAAGGTTGCCTAAGTTGACCAGCATTGCTCTCCAGTTGCTCTTGAGATGCAATTTGAATTTCATTCCTGGATAGCCCATTTGCCTCATCTGTTAATAATGAAGAGGCAATTATTTCCAGGAAAATTACTTCTACCTATTAGCTAACAGGTATTATTGCCACTAACATCAAAACAGTTTAAATGTAACAAAACATTATAATGATGGTGCCTGAAGTGATGACGTGTAATGCCCCCTCCCTTGAGGGGGCGGCAACTTTTATGCTAAATTTTGAAAAGCGATACAACTATCATATATCCTATTGTTTCAATTATAAATGACCTCTTTCTTCTTCCCCAAAAGAATTAAATCCCGTACTTCTAACTAGCAAATTGGAGTCACTAACATCTATTGGGTAGCAGCACTGGCAGTCTGAGAGCAGGGAAAAGCAGGACAGGCACTGAAAAATGCTGCTGCCCTCTTTCTGCCATTCCCAGTGAACAAGGACGGGAGGCAACTGCCTCAACCACCAAGTGCTCTCCCCTTTACCCACAGGGTGCAACAGCCAGTGATGACAGTTCTTACCAGCTTTAAGATGGGAAGAGCAATACTCAGTCTGCAGTAACAATGGTGCCTCTGAAGGGCTGAGTAGCTTCTCTTCCCCTGTTCAGCATTTTCCTTAAAATAGCCCCTGTTATGGATCTGCTCCCAAGACCCACTTCAGAGGAAAGTTTCAGTCATCCCCGTTTGCCTCTTAGTAAGTAAATGCAATGTTTTCTCACTGTTCCAATTAAAGTCAACATTTCCCTCCCTGAATCCTAACCATAAATCATTTGACTTAAAGTTGAAAAGCAACATACTAACAGAGGATGAATCGTCTGGAGTAGGTTTCTGCCACGAGAACGAAGCAGAAAGATTGTTTGCCAATTCTTGCCTTTTAACAAGTTTGGGGGGAAAAGAAATTATCTATTTTATCATTGTTTATGAAAATAAGAAATGTAAATACTCAAGTTTCCCCACTAAAATTTCCTCCACCCATGGTCCTCTTCTGCATTGTCAAGGTTATAAATAAGGCAAAAATCACCAAATAAATCTTTGCTACATTGGAAACACTGTGGGTATCCCAAACCAAGGTTTCACAGAGCTTACATCTTCCAACAGATTCTTTCCCCAGAGCTGCTAGTGAGAAGAACAGCCAAGACACTGTTATTACGGGAGCTGTGTTCCATTCATAAACACCAAGAACTATGGTCATGAGAACATAACAAAGCCCTCAGCAAGCTAACTTGCTATCAGGCAAACAGAAAAAGTAAGCTGGCCATAGCATAGTAGTAGCAGAACATAATACCTTGAACTAGGACATCTGTCTACTCACCTCCATTCTGCGAAGATGATTCACTGGCTTCTTCTGTAAGATACTCTAACAAGCCATCAAATATTTCAAGGAGGTTTCTGATAGATTCCCTTTCTCCTTTCACAATGTTCTCACCTTAAGAGAAGGTACTGCCACATATTAATAATTAATACTTCACAGAAGAAAAATTCTCATGAAAAGCAGATGTCTTCTGGAGAAGAATGCTTGGAAATTCTTGTGATGGTGTCAGCTCAGAAGACAACCGGTCACTCATTTATGGCTATGTACGTAAGCTTAAGGTATCTTAAAATTTTTCTGAAGTTGTGTATTTTCAATTCTAATAATTGAAAGTTTATTGATGCTATACCTGCTTCCATTAAAAAAAAATATGAATCGGGGATATTTTCAGAGATAGTTGGTATTTAATATTTTCTTATACATATTAGCTACAGCATAAACCAAGTCTACAGATCAGCAGGCAGGTTTACAAATACCAGCCATACTGTACCAAATTAGAAAGAGATACTTCCTATCAGGTAAGCAGTTTTCATTCTTTGCGGGCTGTGTTATGTGAGAATATGCATACCCCATGAAAGCTATAATCTGTGTCCGAGGGACAGATACAACATAGTTCCAGTCTTTACTTACCGGCTTTTTAAAATTTAAGGCTGGTGTTTCAAAACCTAGTCTCCGAGCTTTAACTGTATACAGAAAAATACTGAGCCAGTAACAGACTTCAGGTAACACTTTAGCAGACAAGCGAAATAGGATTGACGGCTAACTTTAACATTCCTTACAAGTCTGTGTCATACATACATACATTTATAACCTAATGTCCAAGGCAAGCAAGGGTTCAGTGTTTTGATTACATTCACTACACGAAAAAGACCTTTCATGTAAGTATGAAAGCATGCTTTATAGCATATGGTTCTTGTAAAATGTTTAAATTAAACCACACAAATATTCAACTGGTGTTTGTCTACATTACAATGAGTACTTACCAGTGATGTGCGACAAGCTGACTTGCAAATAGTCCAACGCCAGGGAATCTATTACTGCTTGTACATTATGTGCATCATCCTCTTGGCTTCTAGGAGTAGCTATGAAATCTATTTAAAATAAATAATATATTTTGGGCTATCTAAATGGATAGCTTATTGCAGATGTTTTGACTAAACCACTTGAAATTTCACTTACAAGTTAGTATTTTTTCAATACCTCGTGTACTTGGTGAAAAGCCCAAATATCATATGAAATCTTTTATAAATACAAACTTAGAAGAGCCACTGGAAGATGTGAGGATTTTATCAGCTGAAGTATTAAATTCAAGAATAGAGACGACTAAACTATTTTATCCTCCTTCACTCCCGGCGCACACATCTAGTTCAGACGGTCAAACTGGAACTGCAGTTTGGCTTAAGGTCTCTTCTTCCCGTCAGCAACTAGTTGGACTGCAATGCATTCTACTTAATTGGGAGCAACATTATTTTTAATTCTTCACTTATATTTAACAGGACTCCTACCACCAATAGCTGCCAGTTACCACTTACAGTTATCTTCTGCAAGTAGGATAACACTTCCCAAATGCAACAGTTTACCATAAAGCAAATAAAAACATAATTGTATAGCCCTTGCTTATTGTTGTCACTGCAGTCAAATGGACTTGGGTTAAACCAGAGTTAAATCACAGTTTAGCTCGTAGTAGACTGTAAGTACTAAGCATTTTATGAGAACAGGCTTCAGTATTAACGCTTCTTTAAGAGAAATGAGCCAATTCACACCCTTCAAAAGTATTGTGCTTATGTCTAGCTTTCAAGGCCTAATTTACAATAGAAAAAGTTTTGCTGTAGCTATACTACTGAACTTCCCTTGTAGTAGTAAAAAAAAAAAAAAAAAAAAAAAAAAAAAAAAAAAGGAGGCCAATATTACTTAAATCTTCCTAAAGAATGACAATTTTACGTGTTTGTCTTTGGAAGGACACAAACACTGAAAAAAAACTACCAACCTAAATCTGTAATAAGTTTTGCAAATTTTAATTTGTTCATCACAAAATACACAGAGAAGAAAAAAGCAAGCAGGCTTAGAAATTATCGTTCCCACCTGGTACTTCTTCTCCTAAGATTGACTCGTAAAGATGAACAAACATATAAGCACCACATTCAGAGAGATGCTTTACGTGCTTGTAGATGTGACAGCTCCTTAAAAGATCATTGGCAACATCAACCCAATCTATTAAGAAGTAAAACATATTTATGTCAGAACTGAAAGACACAGAAATAAAGACACGGTTAGTTACAGTGAAAAATGGAATCCATTTAAGTATCTTTGTCTCCACCATAAGTAGTCAATCCCAGTCATGCTCTCCCAATCATCCAAGAATGTTGTATGCTTTCTGCTCCATGATCTGCCTACTTCAGATGGAAACACAGACAGAGTGAGGAATGATACAGGCCAGTATCTTGTTCGAGTACAGTCACAGCACACAGACATGAGAGCTGAAGGTGTACCTCAGGCCAGGCAGCTACTTTTTTCTTCCACATAATGGAAAGCACATTTTCATCTGGATGCCTAACAAGGTATTCCAAATGTTGAAGGATTTTACAAAATAAGCTTTGGTATGTCTTTCATCAATATTCAGAAGTGATACATATTTTTTTGAAAAACACGAGCTTCTCTCTTAAAAACCCAGTTTTCCTAGCACTCTCAGACAACAACAAAACTCCTAATAAAAGTATTCTTCAGGAAAGCTAAATTCAAGGGCTGTTTAGGGATTACAAGACTGTGGAGCTGGTCCCACCACCTTTGTGCTACATTGAGCACAATGAATAAACAGCCTTATTTTCCCAAAACTTTTGAGTTCAAAGTGCTAAATTCAAAGCGCTTTGGTATATATGTATCCTCTACAGGCTTCCTTGTCAGCTAATTCAAATATCAGCTTGGAAGAAAAAAAGTCTTTGTCTCCATTAGTCTGATCTCTTAAGGTTGAATTTCTGCCCCACACGTCGCTTTTGCAAACAAACAGAATTTTAACAAGTATTATCAAGGACTGTAATGTAATGGAGAAGGGGTGTCACCTTCAGAAGGAAAAGTAGTATATAATTACTACAACAGAAACTAATTTCTACAGTTGTTACTCTTCTGTACAGATGCAGTGTTGCTTTTCCATCACTCTTCAGTTCCAGAAATAACTTTGCCCTAACATTTTAATAATTTCAGGTGCAAAAGGTTAACGTAGCACCTCGTATTTCAGACTGATATGTCTTAGAAAACTTCAGTTACTGTTAACCTCCAACTTTATCAATTTAAGAGTGTCACCGGGGAGGGGCAAAGACAAGACAGGGGAAGGGGGGGTTTAACATAAAGAGCAGCGCCCGCGGCCCGGGGAGGGTGGCTCTCCGCAGGGTGCCCGGCCGCCCCTACCTCTCTCCTCAGCGGTGGCCATGGTGCGACACCTCGCGCCCCAACGGACACCGGGGACGGGGACCACCCCCTCCCCCGCCCCTCCCCCCGCGGGATTTAAATAGCCCTTCCGCGCTGATTGGGCAGGCTGCGCCGGAAGGAGCGAGGTTCCCCGCCCGCCCGCAC